ATAATGCGCAATGTGTCAGCTAATGGAGGTCTGCCAGGGGGTCCCTTTCAGGATACGAATGGAATCAGTCCGGGATGGATAGACATCATCTAGATAAATTTTAATGTCTAATTCATTATTTCTTAGAATATCTACTTATAATTATATAAGTTAATTCTTGAATCATGGTACTACTATAGATTTTGATTAATGTTATTGGCAGCATAGTAGTTAGCACTCCTACCTAGCAACACTAGGGTCATTGGTTCAAATCCCAGCCTTGGCACCATGTTTCTGGAGTTTGCATGTTCTCTCTGTTCCTGTATGGGTTTTCTCTCACACTCCAAAGACATGTTTAATAGCAAATGTTTACTGGACATGTTTAATAGCAAAAACTTTAAAAATTGTCAGGTTTTTTTTGGTTATAGCCCTGCTCATAGAAGCTTTAGACTAAAAGGCATCACAACTTTCACAGTGTACAGCTGGGAACAAAATAAGGCTAATATTAGTAAGGCAACGCATTTTACAAGGTAGAACAAATCTCACCACCCTACCCAACCACCCCATCAATTTGTTAGGTGCAAGACTCAAAAACAAAATCGCTCCAATGAAACACACACCCCGCCCACCCCAGTTTCCACACACATATCACACATTTCTGATTATGGTGAGCAGGAACCTGCATTTCTTCTACATAATTAGGCAAATTATATAAAATTAGGAGTAGAACATTTGACATTTGTTAGTAACAAAAGTTAGCAGATGCTCACAAACAAACACATGGTCATAAAAATACACACAAAATTTAAGCCATGTTCACAAAAATCCACTTTTGAGAGACAAATGCACAACAATTACAGCAAACACTCAAACATGGGTTGTTGGTCACCATGCACAATACTTCTCCCCCCCCCCCCCAAAAAAAAAACCCTTCCAAGGCCAACAAATAATCTGGCCTCCTCTCAGGCCAAACAAACCCCCACTACTACAGTCCTTTATATAACATAGGTTGTATTGTTGGTACGCCCAATCAATCTGTCTCTTCATGAATGCCTCCAGTGATTGCACCTGATTAGCAGGCAAATACTCCTCCCAAATGTGTTAGCCCTTGGTTATGTGCATCAATCCACAGACTACCCCACATAGAAAAAAATCTGAAGAATATATTTAAAGAAAAAAATATATGCAGTGTGTGTGTGTATGTATATATATATATATATATATATATATATATATATACACGCACACATATACACTACATGTTGAAATGCGTTTTTTATATATTACAAAATCTGAAAAATATTTTTAAAAATGTATTTTTTAAAACATATTCTTCAGATTTTTTTTTACATATAAAAAAAGTCATTTTAACATATATCTTTACATATATTTGTAAATGCATTCCAAAAATATAGATTTGTATTTTTAAAGACAGTATATTTGAAATGTATTTTTAAAAATATTTTTCATATATTTTGTAATAAAAACGCATGTCAACATGCAATATATATATATATATATATATATATATATATATATATATATATAATTATTGAAATATATAATTTTGAAATATATTTTGAAATATATTGAATATGGCCACAATTGTAGCATTTTAAATATATGTCAATATACTTGGGAAGAATATTTTAAAAATATATTTCAAATATAGTTTTCTTCCATATGGGACAGGCCAAAGATCTAAGTCCATTATCATGCATATAAAGAAATCATCACTTCTCTAAGCATATGTACCTGCGCAGTGTAACAGAAAATTTGAAATGTCCAAGTCTCTGGGCATGCTCAGTGAATGTTGTAAGTTCTTGGGCATGTGCAGGGTACAGAGCAGGACATCTCACATTTGTGATTGCTGCTTCACCCAAATTGCTGAAAAGCACATTCGTCATCCAAGCAGACATCCAGTATTTCCCATCTATTCTAATGGCTCTACTACACCCTCATGCAGTGTGTTCTTGTGCAGCTCACCAAATTAGAACATGATGAATGTGTTCTGCATGGACCTACACTGAGACATGGCTGGCATTATAACAACCAGAGACTCATCCCCAATGACAGCAGAATTAAAACAGCATAGCCATCATGTATCAAAGATCATGGGCCCCTCAGTCTGTCATGGATGTGAAAGGGAACCCCATTGCCAAAAATAAAAAAGAAAGTATGGATTCTCCCCAAAATCACTAACACACCCTTATCTGAGCAGGCCAGGACTTTTTATTTGTAATGTCAGCTCTTATATGGACTTACATGCAACCCATCTAAAATGTACCAGATAGCAAAAAAACACATATTAAAAACATGCATTATTATTAGTTCAGGGACTTATATAGCGCTGTCAATTTACACAGCACTTTACATACATATTGTACGTTCACATCAGGCTCTACCTTCAAGGAGCTTACAATGTAAAGTCCCTAACTCCCATTCATATACTAGGGAGAATTTAGACAGGAGCCAAAACAAATACCAGTATGTCTTTGAAGCATGGGAGGAAACCCACACAGGCAGAGCATGCAAACTCCATGCAGATAGTGCCATGGTTGGGATTTGAACCAGCAACCCAAGTGCCACTAGGCAGCAGTACTAACCGCTAAGCCACTGCGCTGTCACATACCTTTAAATTGCAACTCTGTGGTGTGATGAGTCCTAAGTCCTTGGGCATGCTCGGTGTAACTAACAATATATTTCAGATGGAATGGAAATACATATGTGATGCTGAATAAGCAGAATCCACAAGGCTGCTTATTGCCATTCATAAGTGAAAACATATGGAAAGATTTGCAATGATCGTGGAACCCTTCTACATATAACTACTAATTTTATTTGGACATTTACGTATAGGATACAGCACTTTGGGAACATCCAACTTCTTTTGCAATTACCTTTTGAAGCTTTCCCTCCTTATGGAGGGTGTCAATGATGGTTTTCTGCACAACTGTCAGGTCAGCAGTCTTTCCCATGATTATGATTCCTACTGAACCAGACTGAGAGACCATTTAAAGGCTCAGGAACCCTTTGCAGGTGTTATGGCTTAATTAGCTGATTAGAGTGGGACACTTTGAGCCTAGAATATTGCACCTTTTCACAATATTCTAATTTTCTGAGATTGTGGATTTGGGGTTTTCATGAGCTGCAAGCCATAATCATCACAATTATGACAAATCATGGCTTGAACTATCTTGCTTTGCATGTAATGAGTGTATCTCATATATTAATTTCACCTTTTAAATTGCATTACTGAAATAAATGAACTTTTGTACGATATTGTAATTTTTCACCTGTATATTGTATTGATTGGAAAATTATATACATGAGAGTGAAACTTATGATTGCTTAGTGCATATAGTCAAGACTTTCATGTAGATAAATGAAAGTAGTTGTTAATGCAACGCTGAAGAATTTGTGCCTTCCTTGACACATCTCTGGATAAGGAATGAATGCTAAGAAGGGCTATATAAGCAGGGAAGGACTCTATGAATGGTGGAATGCAGGGAGGGCGGATATTGTATTCCCCATTTATGTATATGCAAACAAAAAATATCATTCGGAGCCATATCTCATCTGCAGGTAATTATTCAAGTTTCCTTTAAAAACTAAGTAACTTGAGCAGGAGGTACAATCCTCCCTACACAGCCTGGACCTACTGATTGGCTGTACCGAATCAAAGATCTTCCTGTTTCTGTGTTTACATTACACATGCACAGGAAATGATGCAATCTTTTCTCCCTGGAGCACATTCTGTTCCAGAGACAGAAGAATGCCAATCCAGGACAGTAAAAGAAGCACACTTACACAGTAAAAGCACTGCTAGGTCACATTTAAACCCCTGATCGGCACCAGTTAACCCTTTCACTGCCCTGTCACCAGTGTCACCATTAGTACATTGTACAGGTTTTTTTTACTGATCACTGTATTAGTGTCACAGGCAACTTCAGGTAGCGTTAATGTCAGCGTCCCTCCTAGATTGCCTGCCAGCTGTCTACCAGGAGATTTTGGAGCACATCGTGCTTCCTTCCGCAGACGAGCTTTATGGGGATGCTGACTTCATTTTCATTTTTGGGCACCTGCCCACAATGCCGAAAGCACCAAAACCTGGTTTGATGACCATGGGATTACTGTGCTTGATTGGCCAGCAAACTCGCCTGACCTGAACCCCATAGAGAATATATGGGGCATTGCCAAGAGAAAGATGAGAGACATGTGACCAAACAATGCAGAAGAGCTGAAGGCCGCTATTGAAGCATCCTGATCTTCCATAACACCTCAGCAGTGCCACAGGCTGATAGCTTCCATGCCACGCCGTATTGAGGCAGTAATTGCTGCAAAAGGGGCCCAAACCAAGTACAGAGTACATATGCATGCTTATACTTTTCAGAGGTCCGATATTGTTCTATGTACAATCTGTCAGGAGCCGCCACAATCCGCGGCTCGGCGCAGGCGCACTGTGCCCATTCACGCTAGTGTACGGGCACTAGGTCCTGGCCGGCCACGGCGGAGACAGAACCCGCACATGCGCATTCAGAGCCGCGGGTGCGCGCGCCTGGCACCAATGACAGCACAGGGCGCGATATTTAAATCGCCCTGCGCTGACATGTATTGCTGTTTGGTCTCCCTGTGTTCCTGATCCTGTTACCGTGATTCTTGATCGTTGCTGACTCGGATTGTTCCTGACCTTGCTGTTCTCTCCTGCTCTGACCCCTGGCTTGCCTGACCATGGGGCCCCTGTGTGCTTGCCCAAACTCAAAAAAAGCCTATGAAAAAGGTACCAGGGGCATCTCATGGGGCCCCCTACTGACCCCTGGCCCTCTGGCAGTGCCCGAGTTTCCAAATGGTCAGTCCACCCTTGCATGTGACATTCAGTGTGTGTATAATCCCCTGATGTGTGTAGAACCCCCTAAACACACTATATTGCCAAAAGTATTGGAAGAACCCCTCCAAATCTTCAGATCCAGGTGTTCCAATCATATCCATAGCCACAGGTGTATGCAATCAAGCACCTAGGCATGCAGACTGCTTCTACAAACATTTGTGAAAGAATGGGTCACTCCCAGGAGCTCAGGGAATTTAAGCATGGTACGATAAGTTGCCACCTGTGCAATAAGTCCATCCGTGAAATTTCCTTGCTACTAAATATTCCACGATCAACTGTTAGTGGTATTATAACAAAGTGTAAGCAACTAGGAACAAAAGCAACTCAGCCACAAAGTGGTAGGCCACGTAAAATGACAGAGTTGGGTCAGAGCATGCTGAAGTGCACAGTGCGCATAAGTCACCAACTGTCAGCAGAGTCAAAAGCTAAAGACCTCCAAACTTTGTGTGGCCTTCAGATTAGCAAAAGAACAATTCATAGAGAGCTTCATGAAATGGGTTTCCATGGCTGAGCAGCTGCATCCAAGCCTTACATTAGCAAATGCAATGCAAAGCGTTGGATGCAATGGAGGTAAAGCACACTACCACTGGACTCTAGAGCAGTGGAGACGTGTTCTCTGGAGTGACAAATCATGCTTCTCTATCTAGCAAACTGATGGGCATGTCTGGGTTTGGCAGTTGCAAAGAAAACGGTACTTGCCTGACTACATTGTGCCAAATGTAAAGTTTGGTGGAGGAGGGATTATGGTGTGGGGTTGTTTTTGAGGGGTTGGGCTTTGCCCCTTCGTTCCAATGAAGGGAACTCTTAAGGCATGAACATAGCAAGACATTTGGACAATTTCATGCTCCCAACTTTGTGGTAACAGTTTGGAGATTGCCCTTCCTGTTCCAACATGACTGCGCACCAGTACACAAAGCAAGATCCATAAAGACGTGGATGAGCGAGTTGGGTGTGGAGGAACTTGACTGGCCTGCACAGAGTCCTGACCTTAACCTCAAAGGGGTTCTAGGAGAAGGATCGGCATTACTGCAGATCGTTGCTCCCAGAGTTCATGTGTTTTGAGCTGGTTTATAATATTACCGGCCTGGCAGCTCTGGTGAGTTTTGTTTAACCATTTGCCGCCCGCCCTATGGCTGAATGGCGGCGGCAAATGTCATCAGCGTTCCGGGTGGATGCCATATGGCGTCCTCCCGCACATGTGCAGATTGCAGAGCGGCACAGCGGCGCGATCTGTCACCGGCCGTGTACCTCGGACACGGCCGATGACGATAGATCTGAGTATCGGCCCCGTTGCCGGTACCATGTGACCTGCTGTGACCAATCACAGAAGGTCACATGACAGTTGTATACAATGGATGGCTTCATTCATGCCATCCATTGTATACTAGTGTCTAGCTGTGAATGGTCACAGCTAATCACATGCACATGTCATGTGATTAGCTGTGGCCAAATCACAGCTAAGCACAAAAAAAAAAAAAAAAAAAACCCTGAATGAATCGATGTCATTCAGGTAAATGTTTGCTTATAGCAAAGTAATTCTTTGCTATAAGCAAATTGTGTAAAAAAAAGAAAATACTGATCACTTCCCCAAAGTAGTACAATGTTACTATGGTAACATTGTACTACTTTGGTCATAGTGAAATATGAAAAAAAAATCTTAAAAAAAAAAAAAAAATTTTAAAAAATAATTTATATATATATATATATATTTTTTTTTTTTTTCATACTGTCACCAGTCAGTGTCCCTGATCACCGCCATGCCAGTTATATGATGACACTGTACTGCACTGGTGACAATATCTAATAAAAAAAATAGTGAAAAACTCAAATTTTTTACATTTTTTCATTTTCCAAAAAATTATGACAAAAAAAAATACAACTTCGAAAAACTCGCCATGCCTCTTATAAAGTACGTCGGACTGTCTACTTTGCAAAAAGGGGTCATTTGGGGGGATATCTGTACTGTTCTGACATTTTTGGACCTCAAGAAATTAGATTGGCTGTCAGTACTTCAGGATTGATCAATATTCAGATCTATACCATAGTTTGTGAACTCTATAACTTTCCTACAAACTAAAAAATACATCCTAATTTGGGTTATTTTTCACCAAAGACATGTAGCAGAATACATCTCGGCCTAAATTTATGAAGAACAATTATTTATTTGCAAACTTTTATAACAGAAACAAAGAAAAACTTTTTTTTAAAAAAAATTTTTGGTCTTTTTTTGTTAATTTAGCAAAAAATAAAAACCCCAGTGGTGAATTAAATACCACCAAAAGAAAGCTCTAGTTGTGTGAAGAAAATGATAAAATTTTAGCTTGGATACAGTGTTGTATGACCGCGCAATTGTCATTTAAAGTGTGAGAGCGCTGAAACCTGAAAACTGGCCTGGGCAGGAAGGTGTAAAATTGCCCTGGTATTGAAATGGTTAATACATCTGAGGAGCACTTAGTGGTGTTGAAAATTAAGAAGGCACAATAATTGTTATTTGTGGTGAACATTCTTACAGACTTTATTTTTTGATTATATGAATTTGATGTATAGTATATGAATTGATGTATAGTAGTATATGAATTAGATATTATTGAACAGTAATTATTTATTGCACGGTGACACTTTTGTTGCATAGTCGTTTGCACTATGCACTTTGATTTCTGCATATGGCACTTTAGGTTTTCTAAGAGACCTGTTTTATATGTATTGTTTGTACGATAGCACGTTACACTTTGCATAAAATGTATGGGTATAAGCAAAAAAGGGGTGTTGGGTAGCGCTGTTTTGACATTTTATATACAGAGAAAGCCCTGAAACTTACCTTCGGTGTGGAGTAAACTCACTGTTTGGCACTACTAACGAGCCACAAAAACCCCAAACTTGTCACACCACTAACAAACAACTACTGGCTGTAGAAAGACGGACAAAGACACTGCTAAAAAATTCCTCCCTGTGAGCTTCTTAGCTGAGAAAATCAGATCCACTGACCTTTTGGTCAAGACAGGACACACAGGAATATTCTGTATATTATGAATTGTTTGCAATACCGAAACAAAGCAAGGTAACAAAGTGTACTAATAATAGCACCCATCATAGAAAACAAATGAATTGCAATAAGAACTTTCACACAAAGGGTTCTATTTACTAGGCTGCAATGTATGTGCTATTTGCCATAATATAGTTATTTTAAGCCACTTGGCTGTCAATTTTAACATTCGTTGCTGAAAATAACCAATTCTTATAACTTCTCAAATTAAACCTAATTCTCTAATTTCTATATCTATTCTTGTGATTTGTAAACCATTACAAAAGAATTAAATGCAGAGTAAGAATAAAAATAAAATGCAAACAGCAAGAAATACAAATAAATGTTCATATACAGTTTTTGTTTGAACAAAACACTGCACGGATTTATTTTAGATAAATATTACAGTGGTTAAAAATTCAGTCACTGTGACCAGTTTTTTCTCACTATTCAATTGTATGAAAAAATGAATTATATTGATCACAAAATCAGAAGGCTATTACAGAGCTGGGAGCTGAGAAAATTAGTTTCTAAAGGTTGTATGCAGATATAATAACAGTTACAAGAATTCAATAAATACTCTATGTGAAATGCACTCAAAATCACTGCATGAAACATATTAAATGGGAAAGTGTGTGCTTCCCACTGAGCAGAGAAGTAAATGAAATAGAAATGCGATGCATCTGTTTACACCAGAGCAATAATAGATGAAATAGTTATTCTACCAAATTGTGGTAACACAAAAAACAACACTTACACGATCATTTCAGATTTCCTATAAAGGTTTACATTGCAAGTGTTACTCTCCAGTGTAACATTAATACGATATTTGTGATCAGTATTATGTCTACTGTGAATATTTTTTTTTTTTAACAATAAACAACAATTATTTTAAGCATTGCGGTCTTGTTAATAATATTTTTCTAGTATGATATGATACCAATTAACTAATTGAACAGCACACCCAGTCACACTCAATCAAAAGGTGTTAGATATAGAGATTCCTAAGAATGGTAAACTAATCCACATGAGACAGAGCATGAGGCAGGCTGGACCACTTTGTTGAAGGCAGAAGCTTGCAGATAAAAGGTGACCAACATCACTGCGATTTATGCCATTTTTCTGTCACATACTCATTTTCTTAAGAAACTTCAAAGCCTTCCTACTACTCCTAATATCCCGTCTTACTCAAGAAAGATCATTTCTAGCACCTGTAACAGTAAGAGCCTCTCAGTTGTGGGTGAGTTGCCATCATTCCTGTCAAAATTACACATAATCTACAAAGGATCCTCTCTTGGGATTTTAAAAGGCAGCCAAAACCTTTATTTATAAATATAAAACTCACTTTATTAAACATAAATAATAAAACGTTCTATTTAAAATACAAGAATATGTTCTCAAAAATCTAAAAACAATGATGAAAGAAATTGGCTTCCCGTTCCTCTCGAGCTACTGACCCCCGTCAGTCCCCTGGCCTTGATCAGTGTCTGTCCTCAGGCCTGGAGCCCCCTTTGAGACACAGGAAATGCCACACAGACACAAGGTGGTATCGCAGAAGGAACTGAATTTATTCTTCCGTGTTTAAACTTTATATATGAAACTTAAAACAATACATAGAAAATATAAGAACCAATCAATTGACAGATATGCATTAAACAATCAGAATATTACATACGTCAGTCATGCCCAATCATTTTAGCATTCATGTAAATTTTATTAACTGCGTCAAACGTTAGCATAGAAAGTAGACAATTTCCCTATTTCACACTGGCTAAAGTTATTAATAGTCTTGCGACAGGATATATACAACCGCAGACTTTCAGTCTTGTGCTAGCTAGAGGAAAAAATTAAGTTACATCTGAAGGAAAAAGAGGAACCTTATACTCTTATCGAAAGTAAAGAACAGTCTTTAAACACAAATTCAACTTTAAGTACTGACTAAGTTTTAAAATGGATACTTATCTTAAATTGGCAGAGCCTTAAGCTAAGAGACAAATGGCGGTATGGTAATGCTGAAAGGCTAATTCCTTCAAACCCCCTCTTAGGTCACTCACGTGACCTTACACCTTTTGTTACAGGTTGGTACCTGGGGCCCTTAGTAGTTCCTTTATCAAGATACTGATTCCACATGGTTCTAGTAATGGTGGCGTCAATAAGTTTCTGCATTAAACCTCGGATGCAGGGGATACAACAGCAACCACACAGAGTTAATACTGCAGCAGCCATTACTATGGAAATCAGCATAGTTTTCATCAGAGTTCCCCCATTTACCAAACCAATTTTCAAATAAACCAGCTAGTGGATTTTCTACTCTGAGTTTTCAGCCAATTCTTCAGACAACATTTGGAGGCCTTGAAGGGCTCTAGTAATGCTTCCATCAGGAGCGGTGTTATTGGGGATAAAAAGTACAGCAGTAGGAACCAAACATTTTTACATACCCCTCCTTTCTCAGCTAATAACATATCAAGAGCAATGCGGTTTTGCCAAGCAGTAAGGGATGTTGCATCAAGTTGGGCAGAGACCACCTTTAGAGCATCTCTAGTTATAGTTAACAAACCTTTGTTGATTATAATAA